GGTACATTGGGCTAGTTCAGTTTTAGTGTAGTTAGAGAGAAATTACCCTGTTCAAGATATAGTTTAAGTAAGAGACTAAAAAGGACTTTGCCAGTGGATTAGTGTGGGAGATTAAAAATGAAAGAAGTTGAACCCTCAGCAATGTTTGGCTTGTAGTATTAGGTGGATGTGAATAGGGTGTCATTTATTAGCCGAGGAAAAGTGATTTTCAGGTTATCTATTGCTGCAGAACAAGTCACTCAAAACTTAATTGGCTTAAAACAGAACTATTATTTTATATTACATTATATTTGTGAGTCAGAAATTCAGCTTCAGTTTGGCACAATCTTTCTTCACATGTACTTAGCAGGAGTCACTTAGTGATATTCAGGTGATATCTGGGTATGTCTACAGTCCATGATGGTTTCACTCAAATGCCTGGCACTTTGGCAGGGATAGCTTGAAAACTTGTTCCGCATATAGTCTTAAGAATCTTTCCATATGGTCTTACCTGCAGAGTAGCTGAATTTCTCACATTGGCTCAGACTCCAGTAGCAAGTATCCCAAGAGATTAAAAAGGAATCTGCAGTGTTTTCTATGACCTAGCCTCAGGAGACCCAGAACATTATTTATCCTGTCTTCTCTTGGTGAAACAAATCACAAAAACTAGTCCAGATTTAAGGAGATGGAAATTAGACACACCTTTCAGTGAGAGAAATAAAAAAACTCTGCAGCTATCTCTAATGTTTCATAATTCCTCTGGCCACAATATTGACACATTTCCCACCTGCCAAAATATATTCATACACTCCTACATTTCCCTAAAACATTATGCTATTACAGCATCAGCATTGGGTCTATCATCCTGAGATCTAGATCAAATTCAGGCATGGATGAGGTTCCTTGGACACAACTCAAATACAGTCCCTCTTGATTTGAAGACCTAGGAACTAAATACACAAGGCATATGTCCCCTATACATCTATCAGTCACTGTTGGTACAAGAGTAGAAAAACTTTAGTAAATTCCCTGTTCATAAAGGGGAATACAGGAGTCACATAGCAACACGGGCCCATAGAAATTCCAAAATCCAACTAAACACATACTGCCATTTTCTTGATCAGGGTCCAGCCTTGCTTCCTACTTGTAAGTTTCTGTGGCTCTTGGCTCTGCCTTCTGAGCTTATAATTCAGTCCTCTGAATCATCTTTCATTTTATAGGGAAAAAATAGCCCATGTTATAGCTGAGTAGATTTTTTGGCCTGTTTCCTGCTCATTCTAGGTTGAGAGTCCAAAGATCTCTTCATTTTCTACTGTCCTTTAAGTCTAAGCAGGTATAACTTCTTCAAAAACCGTGTGAGATATTATATCCTCAAGCCTTATTTATTTTTTAACTAGAATTTTGTACCTCTGGACCCTCTTCACTTATTTTGTGCACCCAACCCCCCGCCACCTGTCCTCACCTCTGGCAATCACCAGTCTGTTCTACGTATCTATATGTTTTGGAGTTTTGTTGTTATTGTTGTTCACTTGTTTTGCTTTTTAGATTCTACATATAAGTGAAATCCTATGGTATTTGTCTTTCTCTTTCTGTCTTCTTTTATTTAATACCGTCAAGGTTCATCTACATTGTATAATGGCAGGATTTCATGCTTTTTATAGCTGAGTAATATTCTACTGTATATATGTACCACAACTTCTTTATCCATTCATTTATTAATGGACACTGAGGTTGTTTCTAGGGGTGCGAATATCTTTTCAAATTAGCACGTTGGTTTTCTATGAAAAATATTCAGAAGTACAATTGCTGGATTACATGGTAGTTCTATTTTTATTTTTTGAGGAATTGCTATGGTGTTTTCCATAGTGGCTGCACCAATTTACAATCCCACAAACAGTGCATGAGGATTCCCGTTTCTTCACATCCTTGCTAATACTTTTATTTCTTGTCTTTTTGATATAAGCCATTCTAGCAGGTGTGAGATGATATCTCACTGTGAATTTGATTTACTTTTCTCTGATGATTAGTGATGTTGAGCATCTTTTAATTTGCCTGTTGGTTATCTTTATGTCTTCTTTGCAGAAATGTCTATTTATTTCACTGCCAATTTTTAAATTGGATTTTTTTTGTTGTTCTTGAGTTGTATGAGTTCAGCATATTTTTTGGATATTAGACACATCGAATATATCATTTGCATATACATTTTTCCATTCGGTGGGTTGTCTTTTCATTTTCTTGATTATCACCTTTGTTGTACAGAAACCTTTAGTTTGATGGATTTCCACTTGTTTATTTTTGCTTTTGTCATGTTTGCTTTTGGAGTGAGATCTCAAAAATCATTGCTGTGACTGATATCAAGTAGCTTACTGCCTAAGTTTTCTTCTAGGAGTTTTATGGTTTCAGGTTTTATATTAAGTCTTTAATTAATTTTGAGTTTATATTTCCGTATAGTGTAAGACAGTGGTCTAATTTTATTCTTTCAGATGTGGCTGTCTAATTTTCGCAACACCATTTACCAAAGAGATTGTCAAGGACTTTATGTAGTAGCACCTCTTTTATAAAATGCAAAGGTGTTCCATAATTTCTCTGAGAACCTTACATGCACACAGAGGGTAGATGGCACATTTCCCAAATACCACCACAGAGAGGCCTTATGTTCTGCTTGTGATTGAGTACAGAATCCTAAACAGTACAGAATCTGCATAGAGTCTGCACAGTATTTAAGGTCCCAGATGGCAAGTATCATCCATCCCTTTTAAGGAGTAAGAAAATCCTTTGACTTCTATAAGGACAAATTTGACTTTATGAACATTCCAATTCACCTAAATACTGACAAAAATGGAATGCCAGCTGTGTTACATGCAACATTGGTTATAACAAAAATGATTCTTTAATTATAAAGTACATTTAGACTGAAAGAACAATATATGAAATATGTTCTGTTCATGCTTTCTGCTTCCTGATTGCAGTGATTCTTATATCTGCAACCAGTGCTTACCAGGACCCTGGATTTATACCTGATGGTGTTATAAGATATGTTGTTCTCAATTGTAATAATGAGACTCTAAGCTAGGATGGCTCCTCTGCCTTTGCTTTCTCTTGTGATCCAATGCGAAAAGCCATGAGGATTATGCTCGCCAAAGAGAAATGCATGCTATAACTGCTGGCATGGTGAATTTTTCAGTTAGGAAGTTCTATATGATTGTTTTCATACTGTTTAGTCATTATTTCCACTAGACACTGGCCATTGTATTTGAATGATTATCGGTAGACATAATTGAGGCTTGAGTTGTTTGTTTGCTTATTCAGTTCACCCCGAGGTCCACCTGTCCTGGACCATCTTATGTCCAAGTTCAAGGCTCGAGAAGACTCTCTAGATCTCCAGGATGTGAGTCTATGCAAGACTTTGTCATATCAGGTTTCCTCTTATTCTGTGGGTATTTGTGAGGTGTAACCATCAGGAGTCTCACCTGGACATGTCCTACCTAGGCTTTGACTTAGGCCCTTCTCATCCCAAAAGAACACTGAATGCATGGCCCAGGGCATCTGCTTTGTCAAATTCTTTCACTACAAAACATTTTGGGGTATTATATCTGTATGTCTAGGTCCTCATCTGGTGAGGCCATTCCATATGATCCTCTCATGTGATATTTAAGATACATTTAACATGTTATCAGTTGTTTTAGTTGTCTTCACCATGACATCAATTAAAACTGTCAAGCCTGGCATTGCCTCAGCAGTAAATTCTATGCATGTGAGCGGAAGATTAGACTTGCATAAATGTACATAGGTAACCACATGGTCGACAGGAAGTGTCTCATCTCCTGCATCCTGTCTCAGTTGTTACATTCCCAGCGAGATCTGCATTGAATGTTCCCTGGCTCTAGCATGTTAATTTTTCTTACCGTGCTCTGATTTTTCTTTCTCCATAGCACTATTCCCTTTGAATAGTCGGAATCATTAACTTGATAGTTGTATTGTCTCTCTTTTGCTCTAAGACAAATTCTGTGAGGGCACATAGCTTTGGATGCTTGTCACTTCTATTTCCAAAATCCTAGGACAATCCCTGGAATAAAAGGATCATTTAATATTAATTTTTAATCTAGGAAGGAACAAAGGAACGAGTGAAATGATTAATTCCAATTTAATCTGTCAAAAAGATACATTTTGCATCTCAAACACTAAAGAGGGGATGAGAAAGGTGAATAAATGTGGTTGTTGTAGCATATAGAGGTTGAGTAAGCTTCTCTGAGGGGCAGTCACAAATTCAGGGAAGAAACAGTCCAGTTCCCTTGAGTTTCCTGAGCAGGATGTAGGCCTGCCCAGGAACAGGCACTCCTAGGGTTTGCAGGTCACACTCAGGGAGGTCAGGAATCCCTCTTATTCCCAACAGAAGTCACCTGTTTCAACCTGATAGAATTCGAAGATCAGTCAAGAACATCTCATCCTGTTTTCCTTTGTGGAACCGCTATGAGATAACTGGAGCCAGTGAATAGGAAGACAGTTCAGCATTTTAGGGATTCACAAGCCCTGCCATCCTCTACAGATAACCTTCCTGCAAGAAAAAAACATTTCTACCGATTTTCTATAGGTTCCACTTTGTCGTTTGCTCTTAGAATGTACTCAGTCATAACTGTAATTATCACACTCACTCCAGGACGAAATGCTGTTGATAATGGATACAGCCTTAAAAGTTTAGAGGTCCTATAATCTTAACTTATGGCAGAGAACAATTTTCGAAAAAATATATGAATTAAACTTTTAAAGGATTACAACAGATTTGAAATTTTTTTCATGTGAACCAATATGTGTTTACAAAACTATTTAATTTAATGTTATTAAAAGTAACTCACTATGCGCCTCGAATTTACATTATGTCAGAAAATTATTCCCCTTCACTAAAAGTCTCCACACAGGTTAATGACATATGGATGAATATATTCAGTCCACAAGCACTAAATTTTATTTTATTGTTATATTTATAATGTTATTATATAAAATCCTACAGAATATCAAGTTCTCTAGGATAATATTTTTCTGCCAAGCTCTCTTTTCAGAGCCCCCTTAATCTCATTGTTCTTGAGGCTGTAGATGATGGGGTTCAGCATGGGAATCACCACCGTGTAGAACACAGACACCACTTTGTTCTGGTCAGTTGAGAAGGTGGACTTGGGCATCACATAAACGAATGTGATGGTCCCAAAATATAGAGTGACAGCTGTGAGGTGGGCAGTGCAAGTAGAGAAAGCCTTGCGACGCCCTCTATTGGAGCGCATCTTCAGTATTGTGATGAGGATATAGATGTAGGAGGTGACTATGACAAACACTGTAAACAGAATGTTGAAGCCAGCTGTAAATGTGGGCACGACTGAGGGGATACTACTGCTGTCAGAACAGGAGAGTTCAACTAAAGGGGCAAAATCACAGAAGAAATGATTGACTCGATTAGGTCCACAGAAGAGTAAAAGATAGAAGCAAATAGTAAAGGAGGAAGCATTGAGAAAACTACTCACATAAGCCAGTATGAGGATCTGAACGCAAACCCCTGTGGACATCTTGGTTGAATAAAACAGTGGGTTGTAGATTGCTACAAAGCGATCATATGCCATGGCAGCCAGAAGAAAGCACTCAAGTGTCCCAAAGAGAGCAACTGAACAAAAATGG